CCGGGCAAAGCCCCACATCAGCTACACGATGAGGTTGGTTTAAAAATACTGCGCTACTTAAATTTTGGAAATACAAGTTTACTGATAAGCATTCTTTCATAATGCGTGTACAGATGCATATAACGTGCCGGCATGTAGACAACAGGGTTTGCAAAGGCATTGCCTATCACCATCGCCAAGTAAACTGCGAGTGGAATACTGAAGTATCACCCGCCCCTCCTTTGTTTAACCAAAGGAAGCACCCGTATGTGGATTAATCCGGATGAAAACTGTCGGCAAACTAGGTCTGAAGGCTTTTCACAGAAGGCACAACGCACTTTAAAAAAAACCACCATAAAAAGTTGTTATTATGGTAAGAAGCATTTATTGTACAGAGAAAAATATCTGAAATAGCAGAAAATCAGACAACTTTGTAGCGGCCACGGTTGAGGTTTCCACTAGACTGCTGTAAAGTAAAAAGGCAAGGATAAGGCATAATTCAATCAAACTGGAACATAGGCTTAAGTAAACCACGGTCGATAAATATTCGCTGAGAAATTTACTGATAACACAAAGGGAACAAACGCGGGAGGGTGGAGGAAGTGGGGGAAAGGAAAACAACCTACCAATTTCAGTAACTCTTCTTTTATTATGCGCATAATTTCCTTCTTCGCCAGCTGTATGTTGCGTTCATTGGTTGACTCTAAGCAGAGGTAAAGAGGGCGCTCGTCAGACGACTCTGGGGCAACAGGCTTGGGTTTTCCGGTGGGAATGTAGATCCCGCGAACAGATACACCGACGTCACAATACTCATTCAGGTGCACCAGCATTTCTCGACCGGTGATGCGCCAGCGCACGTTCTGTGGGAAGTCGTTGATCTCCAATTCCTCCTCATACCTTAAAACATATGCATGCAGGAAAGCGTAGAGTGTTAAGAGGCGAAGACTAGTTAAGATAGTCACAAGGCGCAACACCGCTGTTGACTTACCGTCGTATATAGTCGCTGGGCGCACCCCCGCTACTACTACTGCCAGCCGCTGTTGTCTCCTCCTCCTGCTGCTTTGAGTAGCCCAGTTTTGCGTGCAGGCGTTCTGCTGCCTGTTCTGCGAGGTTGCGGCTCGCATTCACAGCCGCGCCACTGTTAGAGTTACCAAGACCCTTCAGAGCGACCTGTGCGGCCTTCTGGCGAGCCAAGGCGAGTTGTGCAATTACGGCCGGGCTCAGGCTGTTAAATCAAGGAATTAAGCATACCGAGTTAAGACGGCAAGCAATAAACTCGTTCAATATACTGGCCTACTGATATACGTGTAAGTAGACATTATTTTACCAATTGGAGTTATAGGAAGTGGAACTGAAAGATACTGGAACGCTTACCCTTCACCTGGGCCAGGCGCTGCTGCGGCTGTTGCAGCCGGCTGCTCCGTGGCACCAGACTTAGCCACATCTGTGACTTTGCGTTTGGTAGCGAACATATCCTCAATTTTGGTGTCCCAGTCGACGACGGCAGAATCACCTTCATCATCCGAATCTTCAATACCGAGTGCGGCCTTGGCAAAGCGTTTTCGATCGCTCACTAACTGTGCCTCAGCTTCATCGAAGTGGAAACCCTTGCCACGAAAGCCGGACCCACCATAAACTTTTTTACCCTCCTACAAGCCGAGAAGACAGCGTTATATTTAAACAGCCTACGGTGATGATGGCTTTCAGTTGCAATGACTCAAGCTATTGGTGAGTTATTCCGCGGAAAAGGATACAAATGAAAGAATGCACAGTAAATTTCTTCTTCGCGTGCAAAAAAGGTTTTCCTTTCCCCGAAAAGTCTGACAAAAGGTTTCTATACCTATGCGGTGGTCTTAAATTTTGAAATGCATTGAGTTTTAATGAAGTTACAATGCAGACACTCGCTAGAAAACAGGTACAGTGCAAAGTCTAGAAATCCACTGTTAACTATATAGTAGGCTAAAGGACTGGACATGGCAATAAGCGAGAATTTAGGATGATGGGTTAAAGAAAAATGAATTCAAAGTCGTCTTGAACGCTTTAAAGCCAGCAAATACGCAGGTCTAGATTTCAAACAGACATTGCTGAAATTTTTTAAATTAAAATAATGCATGTTTTCGGAGGCTAAAACGCAAAAGGTATTTTTTGCAAAAAACTCTCTAAAGAGAACTATTATGTAAACTGTTGAAGGCACGCAGGTTTGGACAACCTCGAGGAACGCTAAATATTGCATTACCGAAATGGTTACTTTTACGGAGTCAGTAAATAACCGAAAGCGGGTACAAAATGCCTCCGCGCATACCAAACTCTAGATAGTGTCTCATAGTTAACAGTATTTCTATTCCGTTAAGCACCTTTGTATGCTAAAAGTACAGTTAAGACCGGGGAATAGAAGCCCCATAATACAGGTGGACTTACGCTAAATTCCGGCAAAATTAGGGTTAAGGGTTACGAAGGGATTAGAGTTAAGGCACAGGAATAGGTACCGTTGCTGTAACTTTGCGCGAAACCGCCTACATGAGTGGTAGGGCGGGGGGTTCTATTTCCGCCTAACCAAACAGTGTTTAGGTAGTTTGGTGATATCACAATGAGCTTCGACTAAAAAAGATGCAACATCAGCAGCA